TTGTGGGGTTGTTAACCAATGTCATAAAACAATATGTGTACTACTGTTTCATGAGAAACTATTTGTTCTGTAAGCCTTCACCTGAAGTACAATTTAAAAAAAATGAAGTGAAAAAAAAAATTTCATTGTGTTTTAAGTGAAAGTTTACATAGCAAATGAGGTTCCTATTTAACAATTTTTATACAGCTTTTTCCATGACATTGGTCATATTTTTCACAATGTGTCAACATTCTCATTGTTTCCATTCTTTCTGTTCTGTTTCCATTAATCTAGCTTCTCTGCCCCTCTTTAGCTTCTCATCTTTGTTTTAGGGTAAATGTTGACCATTTGGTCTTATATAGTTGATTATTTAAGGGAGCACAGTATTCATGGGTGATATTGTTTACTTTATAAACCAATTTGTTGTTTGGATGAAAGGTGACCACCGGGAGTGGCTTCAGTTCTAAGTTCAAAGGGTATGTTAGGGCAATAGTCTCGGAGTCTCTATCAGTCCAGTAAGTCTGGCCTTTTTTGGAATTTCGGTTTTGTTCTACATTTTTCTCCCTTTCTGTCCAGGACTTTCTACTGTGTCCCTGGTCAGAATGGTTGGTAGTGGTAGCTGAGCACCATCTAGTTCTTCTGGTCTCAGGCTAGATGAGGCCATGATTTATATGGGCTATTAGTCCTGTCAGGACAGTCTTTAAGGCAAAAATTATGACCACTGTTGCTGACATGGTCTGTAGACTACATAATGACCCAAATAACCTTAATTATGCACAAATTGTAATGAGACATTTTATTCTGAAGAGGGCAGGGCATGGAAGACATGACATAATTGGGTTTTTATTTAAAATTACATTTTTATGCACTGCCTTTCCATTAAGAAATTCCCAGTGGAGAATGATTTCTGAGCTCTCTATGCCAAGTAGTGTTGCAAATCCTGTTATGAATTTGTCAGAACAAGTTTTATTTCACAGAATAATCATACCCAGTGCAGCTAAATATATCAGTGACCACACCATAGCACGGCAAAACCACTTTATTTTTAATCTGGAGAAATGCACCTATGTTAGAACATTAAGTCCAAGGAGAATATACCTATGAATTTTTTTTAAAATAAAAAAGTAAACGAAAGCTATACTCTTCAAAACAAGTGGGAGATGTGCTAGTAAATTATAGGCAGACTGTGACATATTGTGTAGTACACTGTAAGTTCCTGATTATAAAAAGGTCCCACAACGTGGGAATTTACAAAGTATATCAACATTCTTATGGTTAGAATTGTTCGTTGATTATCAGATGGGCAAATTCTTCTTATGGAGCCTCCCCTCCTCCCTATCAATGTGCTTTTTTCTGTGGGACCTGCCTTCCCTCATGACTCTAGAGTGATCTTTTCAGAAGTTATCTCCCAGTAATATTTATACTTAACTTGGAGAGCACTAAAATTCAGCTTCCCTATCTGCTAGCCACTCATATCCAGGGATACTTAAACTGCCAGAGTTCTGGGCTCTGTGGCCTTTTCCCTGGCCTGGGCCTGCTCATTGGATGTGCTTCTGTGAGCCCTGAGTTAACTGCTATTCCACCTAGCATCATGGTCTTTCTCTACAAGGAGTAAATAGGACTGAGTGTTTGGAGCCCTAGCTGCCACTTTAGAAAGATTGCCAGTGCCTCAACTGCAGGGTGGAGGCCATTACATTTGTCGGAAGTGTCACTTTTTACATTTTCCAGTTGACAGACCTAAGCACTTAAAAGAATGCTGTGAGTTGAATTTCTTCAGACTAATTTTCAATTAACTATTTCACACACAACTTTTGTATCTATACAATGGAGAACCCCACAAGACAATGAGACCTCTGTCTAATGTTCACAACTGAGAACATACTGCAAATTTTTTAAAAATCTTCCCCAAATAATGGTATTAAGGCTGACATCCTTAGCTTTCCAACTCAGTTTAGGTCTTGCTTGGAGGGATGCTGGTTTTCTTTGTTTAACCCTTTTAGGTGTCACAATGTAGCTTTGCTTCAGGTCGTTGGGCTGTGCTTATGGCCAAACCTGAGTTGTGATTCTGGAGTAAGGGAGGGCCCCCTATCTCACCACTTTTGACATAGCTGAGGTTGTGGCACTCACACACCGAGGACTTGAGCTTTTTAGAGTATTTTTGGAGACAGCACTTAATGAAACACTTGAGAACTAGAAAGCTCAATTCAGTGAAATTCAACACAATGCATAGGCATGAGGTAATGACCAAGAAGAAGGTGAAGATCGTTTTCTCAGTTGGTTTGGAGATGAAGCAGTCCACGGTGTTGGGGCAAGGCTTCAAACCACACTTCACAAGGTAGGGAACACTAAAGCCATCATACAGTTTATAAAATAAAACCAAGAAGCCAATTTCAAAACCAGTTTTAACAATGAGACTGATAAGGTAAGTGTACCACAGGCCCCCATCCATTGCACCCGGGCTGACATAGAGCTTCTTTCTGTGCCTCTTCTCTCTACCCTCACGATAGGCTACATGTAGAACCACCAGAAGCGAAGGTGTGGATACCATGATCAGCTGCAAGGCCCAAAGTCTGACCTGGGAGATGGGGAAGAAGTAGTCAAAACACACATTTTCACACCCAGGCTGTCTAATGTTGCACTCAAACTCTTTCTGCTCATCTTTCCACACATGCTCTGCTGCTACCATGTAGACCAGCAAATGGAAGATGACTATGACAGCCAGCCAAATCCGCCCAATCCCCGTTGAATATTTATTTACTCCACTTAGGAGATCTCTGAGGAACATCCAACTCATGACTCAGGCTCAAGAGAGGCAAGACTCTGCAAAAGAAAACAATTACATCATAATTCATTTCTATGGCTTTACTTGACAGTACTTAGTCATGGAAGATAAACTCAGCATTATTTCTGCATTATTACCACTCTGGATGTTGAAGGCTAAGAAGACCCATAAGATATGCTTGTTTTCATATAAGGAGATGACACAACAGGTCCACAAACATAAATGATCCCATGCCCACTTTCATTTGGAATTTGGGTTGTCATCCCCCACACATACACATTCTATTCAATTCTGTGGTTGGCAAAATCCTTCTGGTTTAGTGCTTTCCTCTGAAGATGGATGAGTTTTGTTACTTGCCTGGGAAGAACTAGATACAAATTCCAAGATGTCTCTTTTGCCTTTAGAGGTCCTTCATATGCCAGCTTCTTGAAGTTGTACTCTCTACTTACCTTTTCTAATTTATTAATGCCCCTCCTCAACTATTAAGAGTTATTCCCTGCCTCTACCTGTTCTTAAGTCCCTTATCTCATACCTGCGGCTGACCTTACCTACAATTAGATAGTGAAAAGTGAGAATCTCCGATGTGAACTTCCTCAAATTTATGCTTCCTTGCCCTTTCAGACTTACCTACATCCGCATCCGACGTACCCCTCTTATCCAGTTTGGAGGGAGAGGTCTGTTTCCTCTTGCCTCAAAATAATCATTCCAACTCTACATCCCATTCTTGATCGATCTGTTTTCCCGGTTCTATATTCTGCAACTTTAACCTCTACTGTCCACTTCCTCTCAGCATACAAATATGCTTAAGTGTCGTTCATTTTTACTGGGGGGAAATCTTCACAGCTTCTCTTTCTGATAACAACTCTATCTTCCTTTATCCCTGTTTTCCAACTATTATTTACTCCTCAACTCCCTCAGTCTAGTTTTTCTGCTCACCATTGCACTGAACTCTTGATAAAGTCATCAGTACCACTCAATTACCAAATCTCTGGACACTTAGATCTCATTTAATTTTTCTGTGACGTGACGCTGTCGCCTGCACTTGTCTTCTTGCACCTCTTTCAGCCTTAGCTTCATACTCTACCTTCTGTTCCTGTTGTTCTACTCCTTTTGTTGTACCATCTGTTTTCTTTGTCCTCTGCTCTTTTCACCACATGCTCTTCCTGGAAAATCTCATTCATTTCTGTGGATTCCGCTATAGCCTTCAAGTTCCTGACTCCCAAACCTTTGGCTCCTCCCCAGACCTCCATATCTAACCACCTCTAGATTATATCATCTAATGTCCCATAGGCATCTCAAACTTGATATGTTTATAGATGAATTTATTATCTTCCCTGTCCTTTAATTTCCTTATCGTATTGAATGGCATCACCAAAACCCAGGCATCCAAGCCAGAAATGTCATATGCATCCTGGCCCTTTCTAAAATTGTTCACCAAGTTCCGATTTTCCCTAAGTGTCTCTCAAATTCATCTCCAAGTCACTTCCAAAATCTCTCTCACCTAAACAGCCCTTTCACTATTTCTATTTCATCTCCTCCTCTCCCCTCCCAGTACATCCTCGATGTTGTTTAATCCTCCTGCCCCTCTCTCCACATCTTTTGCTCTTTTCACTATAAAAGCTGATAAAGAGCTGGGGAACCTTCCTTTGCACCTCAGTGACTTTGTGTTCCTGGCACTGCCTGCTTCCATCTTTTCTTATAATTGAACTCCGTGGGATGGGCCCTCATTTCTGTTTGTTAGGCCCATCATATATTCAGCACTTTGTTCAGTGCTCCTGTGTTAGTCTTTCGCAATCACCCTGGAAGGTTTTTTTTTTTTTTTAATGGTGGTGGTAGTTTTGTTTTTTTTAAATGAGAAAGCAAATTCTGAGAAATAAAGTCACTTTTCCAAAATCACAAAGTAAGATGCACAACAGGATTGAAACCCATTACTCTAAATTAGGGTTTCTCAACAGCGATACTATTGACATTTCGGGCCAGGTAATTCTTTTGAGGGGGCGCTAGAGGGCTATCCTGTGCATTGTAGGATGTTTAGCAAATCCTTGAATTTATTCATTAGATGCTAGTAGGATCCCCCAACCCCACCCCATTGTGACAACCCAAAACGTCTCCAGACATTGCCAAATGTCCCTTAGGTTGGGGATTGGGAGACAAAACCTCCCCTAGCTGAGAACTACTGCACTAAACTTTTCTATAATCAGAAGATGTGGGCTAAAACTCCAGGTCTGCCACTAATTTACGTTGTGATTTCTCAGACGAATACCTTGCTATTGCAGGTCCTGTTTCCTATCACAAAAACTACATCTTGCCTTCTTCATAAACTGAGCCAAAAGAGTATCATGAAAATGACTATGTGTGAGGGGAGCCAGTGTTTAAGAAAACTGGGACAATGTTATAACAGCACACCTGTTGGACCATGTCACATTATTTCTCAGAGGGAACAATATGCAGCAAACCCACACACTAGAGCCCTGAGAAGATGTATGAAGGTTAAGAGATGTTTCCAGAGAAAACAAAGATTCATGTACACAATGCTGTATTCAGCAGGGAATAAATACTTCAATGCCCTTGGTTTTCAGAACACAAACAAAATTGTATTAAGTAAAAAGGATTCTCAAATCCACCTGAAAGGTTAATGTCTCCACGAATTATTGAAACAAAGCCTCAAAGATTAAAAAGGGGGAAAAAGGTATTATGTTTCCCTATAACATGTGTCACTGGGCATTTGTCCATATCACCTCAAGGATATTTAGGTAATGTTAAAAACATCTGAAAGTACCCTGTTGGGCATTTTAAACAAGGGAGGAAGGTAAAAGTAGTTCCAGAGTGTTTTGCTAAAAGAAAGTAAGAAAGCGACTTATCTTTGAACAGAATTAGAGGACTGATGCCTCCAAATGTGTCAGGATTCTGACATTCATTTGGCTGATACATGTCCGTCTTATCTTCAAGCTCTTTGCTGATGGAAAGACCCTGGCTTTTCTCAGGAGGATGTTCTAATAGTTCATTCACTTTTAACAGAGGTGGTTTAGCATAGTGGATAGGAGCCTGGGCATAGAGCTGGGCCCCCTGGATTCAAGTCCATTCAAAACCTTTTCTTTGTGTCAAAGACAGACAATTGAAATATTTCCAATTGCAAGTTAAATACATTTTTTCTCTAGCCCTGTTCCTGTGAAGGTGGATGATGGTTAAACAGAAATCTCCATATTATAGCCCTGTAAACACTTGGAAACAGTGAAGTCATTAGCTCAACATTTTTATCTCTTAATCTAATAATTCCAGAGTATCTCCTCATTTTTCATAAGGGTCTTTGATTTACCCAGTCTCTTAAGTCTCCAGAGATTTCTCCCAATTTTTAAGAGTTTCCACTTGCTAATTCTAGTGTCTCAATTCTCCTACTTCTTCCTCCCTTCTTCCTCCCTTCTTTTGAGAAGTAGCAGTTAACTTGAATAGGAATTTAGTTTGGAAAATTCAACTGATCAAACATCTTCAGAAAGTAAAATACCGAATATTCTCAATATCAGGGGTAATTATGGGAAGTTGTGTATTTTTCCTAAACATTTGATCCCAATTAGAAGTGTGGGTGTGGGAGGAGGGTAGTGAGAGACCTACTTAAAATACAAGAAAGCAATTGTTGTTAGGTACTAACTCATAGCAGTCCTATAGGACAGAGTAGCACTGCCCCATAGGGTTTCCTAGATTGCAATCTTTACGAGAGCAGATCACCAGGTCTTTTCCCCCTCAGAGCTGCTGGTGGGTTCAAACAGTAGATCTTTCGGTTAGCAGCCAAGCTCCTAACCATTGTATCACCAGGGCTCCTTAAGGAAACAATAACCAAACCAATGGCCATTGAGTCATTCCCACTCATAGCGACCCTTTAGGACAGAGTAGAGCTGCCCCATAGAGTTTTCAAGGCTGTACTCTTTACGGAAGCTAACTGCCACATCTTTCTCCTGAGGACCTTCTGGTGGGTTCAAACCTCCAATCTTTTGGTTAACAGCTGAGCACTTAACCACTGTGCCACCAGGGCTCCTAAGGAAAAACAATAGGAGTCCATATAACCTGAACATTTAAGGAGAACAGTTTATAAAGAGAGTAGAAAAGGGGTAAAAAGGAAGAACAACAAAATATTAAAAATGTTTAACAATGAATAAAGTTCTTATGAATTATTTTATTTTTTCATCATTTTCTGTATTGTCTATGATTTTCCCAATAACAGTGTACAAGATTGAATCTGAAAAAATAAACCTTATAAAAAAATACTAAGATATCAGAGAATCATTACTTTTTCATATATGTGTATCTGTTTTTTATAATAATTGAAGAAGATTATTTATAGAGTACATGCTTAAAACCAAGTCTGTCGATATACACCTGGAAGGTTACCATGCAGGAAAATCCTATGGTGAATCTTTTTAAATCTTTCTTGCCTCTACATACATGCCAATGAGTCCCCAAATTCTGTATCTCCAGTCCAGACCTCTTCTCTTTGAGCTCCAGCTGACTCTTTGTTATCCCCTCTAGGATGTCTTCTCATAAACTTAAAATGCACAAAAGTGAGTTCTTGCTGTTATTTACTTGGCCTCCTTCACTCCCGAAAAAGCTCCGCTTCCCCTCCAGTGCCCTCCGTTTATTTAGTAAATTGCACCACTATCCACTCAAGTGCTGAAGCCAGAAACTTGGAAGTTGCTCTTTACTCTTCTCTCTGCCCCAACCCCACATCCAATTAATATCCAAGCCCAAAATTTCTACCTTTGAAATATATCCCCAAATGTCTCACTCTTTTCATCTGCACTACCACCACCCTAATCTAAAAAACCAAGACCCATTGCCATGGAGTCAATACAGACTCATAGCGACCCTGTAGGTCAGAGTAGAACTGCCCATAGGGCTTCCAAGGGGCCGTTGGTGGATTTGAACTGCCGACCTTTTGGTTAGCAGCTGTAGCTCTTAACCACTGCACCATCAGGGCTCCACCCTAATCTAAACCACCCTCATCTCCTGCCTGGAACACCATAATAGCTTCATAACTGTCTTCCCTTTTATCATTCTTGGCCTCCTCCAATATATTCTCCATTCGGTAACCAGATTAACATTCCAAATGGAAATTATATCATCTCACTTCTCTGCTTAAGATCTTACCGTGACTTCCCGTTGCATTTAGGGTGGAAACAAAAAAGGTCCAATGCTTACCTAGACTACAAAGGCCTGTGTAGCAGTGCCCCTGATTGTCTCTCCAATCTTATCTTGCACATCTCCAGGGTATGTACAAATGAATTCCAGGCATGCTCACCTTCTTTCAGGTTCTCCTTCAGGTCCTACATTCATTCTGTTCCTCCTGCCTGCAAGCTCTTGTCCCTCTTCAGGTAGCTCAAATAGTACCTCCCCAAGAGGCTTTACCCGATCCCACCAATCCTTGGTAATCTTGCTCGTAATATTGACTTCACAACAACTGTATGCAGGGGCAAGGATAGTTAAGTCATCTGGTTTTTCTACATCTTGGATTGTATGTCCTTTGAAATTATCTGATTCTCATTATTTTAATTTACTAAACAACCTTCTGAGTAATAACTTTCTTCTTCATATTCCTTAAGTTTTGCAGGGAAGTTCTCCTGAGACTAGATACAAGAATTTCAATCACTGGTGAGCTGAATTCCCACTGTAATGAGTTGGCATCTGCTGTATAAATCAGGCTCCCCGGGGCTTGGTGATTGTGAATGAGCCCCCTGGAGCAGACTCAACTCTGAGTAAACTTTAAACCTGAGCTTCTGAACTTTTGGAACTGAGCACCAGACCCTGACTGTGACACCATTTAGCCGCCTGTTGAATAGGACGGCCTTCCTTCTCTTAGTGCAGGATGAAACAGTTGTCACACCAGCAAAGTCTGTCCCCACACAGGAAGCTTCGTTTGTGTGGTTCAGGCACTACCCAAGCAAGCCAGCCTCCAGGCAGGAGGGCAGGC